ATTATAATTATTATTTCTAGTTTTCAAAAATTATTTATTTTTTTAAATTTATGATCTTCATGTTAAAGATTATATATTCTTTAAAAATTAGAAACAACTTATATTTGAAAAATATATTTATTGCCAAGCCCCGTATTTCTACATGTGTGAGGTCTTGGCCACGTGCTAACCGAGTCCTTATTTTTATTGACATTAATCTATGTTGTAAATATTACATCCCCAAAATTTGAGACGCAAATAATATACCTAGTATGTGTTTTGTCTAAGAGAGTAAATGGATAGTATATTTCCATGGGAGAAGAAAATTTCTTAGAAAAATTGATTTAATTTTGGTAGAACCTTCGGGCATTATTATGCGGCTCTCACTAAGGTCCAGTTGGCAAATTGTTAGCGTTCGAAATGGCCAACTTATTGAATGCACGTTAACAGGGTTCTATTGCCGATGATATGGATTCAGAATAGCTGCTCCGGATCTTTTTGGTGGGTGGGAGTTCGCACCAGGAATATCCGATCCAACTGTATCAGATTTTAGTCATTTTTTAAAGGGGGGGCTTCTATAAGGTTGCAACATTAAATAATTCAATTTAGACTTACCTCTAAATTTTACTATAATATATAATTTTTGCATAAATTTTTTTTAGGATTACTTCAAAATCTATTTTCATATTTGATTATAAAATTTTAAACTTCAAAAATAGTTAAAATCAAATAAATCTATAAACATATGATAATCTTGAAAATAGACGGTCTAGATAATGTGTTGCAAGATACATTATTTCTTGGACTTAAAATATTTTTGTTTTTTTATATTCATACATCTCAATATCGAGATGATCAATTAGATTTCAACATTAAAATAAATTTTTTCGATTCGATCTGTTTTTGAGGTGCATCTATAGTTCTACATTTTAAGGCTGGAACCTTATATAAACGTTTTCCTTTTTTAAATAATATAAGTATTATGTGGGTTCCAATTGTTGGCATGAAACCATGCTTTAGAAAGGGAATACGTGATTCCTTTAACTCTCATCTCCTATTTCGTAGCGGAGATAAAATCTTAACACAAGCCCTTTAGGTGAGCTAGTTTTGATGCCAAATAAAAGACATATGTTGTGGGAAACTGAATCCCATTGATTTAGAAAAATTGTCTAATTTTTATAGAGAATGGGAGAAGAAAACATATGGGCCACGTGGGTCTCGATATGGTTTTTCTCTTGATATATATAAGTTTATTTAAGAGGAGAAAAATAAAGTGTAAGAGAGAAATGGTTAGTTCCATAATCCCTTGAATTCTCTATGGTTGTATGATGCTATTTTGATTAGTAGAAGAGAACTTTATCATTTGTAGAAAAGAACTTTATCATTTGTCGAACCACGTAAATCATTGTCTCTTTACTTTTCTTTTTCTATATTATTTTTCTTTCTTATTATTTTTTTCCAAATCTTAGGTTTTTATCCTCTACAGCAATTTAATTAATTTTGTATAGGGCCTTATTTCATAGAGAGAAGGTGGGTTCAGTGTTGTGCGCGAAAGCTCTAAACCCGATGGGTTTATTTTTTGGCAAATAAAGTATGAGAAATAAAACATAAAACACATTCACAAGAACACAAATATTTACGTGATTCACCCAAAATGGCTACATAAACGGGCACACCAAACTGAAATCCACTAGACCAATGAAAGTTACCTTAAATTTTTTGAAATAAACCTCAACAAAAACCCAAGTCGAGCAAACCCTTTTAAACCACTCTCTCTTCCTTCTCTTTACTTCGGGCAACCATTACCAATAATACCAGATAAAGATGCAGCAAGACTGAGAAAGTGACATTCTCACTAACTAAAAGGGAAAACCACCTAAAATCTCATTGGGAACCGCTTCTCTATAAAAAACACGAGAGCAACGAGAAACTGCCTTTCTGTTTAATTAAAAAGGTAACGACCCAAAATCTCAATGAGAACTGCTTTTCTATAAGAAACAAGTCATTCAATATTCAGGAGTCTAAAAGATGGTACCATCACAATGTTTCTCTCCATAAGAAGCTCTCTTCTTTCTAAGAGAAAAACTTGTATCTTATGCAACGTGAACCATCATTCTCTATGTCTTTTCTTTTCTCTTTCTATATTGGGAAAGGTTCTATGGTTCCCCAACAACATAGAAGTTCTGTCATCCCCCTACCATCTAGCCGTCCAATTTTGATCAAGAGAACCACTCACCGTTTGATCTTAGATCCGACGTCTCAAAGTATTTTATTTTTAGTTTTCTTTTATACAAATTGTATGAATATGAAATTTGGTACATGCCATCTTCTCATTGGGCACACTTATACAAAATATTTAAAATAATTGTTTGATAAAATATAATGACCAAAATACCCCTTGAATCTTTCAAGGGTATTTTGGTCATTTTATTTTATTGAAAATATTTTTTTATATTTTTCGCTAGTGCATGTTTAGTAGAGGAATGGACATCCAAAATTTGGTGTCAAAATAGTTTATAAACAAAATTAAAAATAAAATAGTTTAGAGACGTGACATTGTGATTGAGACAATCTTAGCCCTTCATTCAGAATGGACGGTTGGATAAGGGAGAGGATAGAACTTCTATGCTGTAGGGAAAACATGGAAATCTTGCCCCTCTTTGCCCATATGCATCTTTCTCTCCCTTAATTCTTAACAAAAGAAAATCCAATGCACTGTGCTTTTTGAAATCCGAATAGTCGCCATGTTGTAGTTTTCATACCCATCAATAACATCACCCCACTAACACTTTCAAAGAGCTAACTTCTAATCTACTTGAAAAAACGGTTTGGGGCAGGTCTTTCCCACTGAATTAGCCAAAAAAAAAAAAATCTCCAAAATTATTTCCATTTATCATCACTATAAAGAGCCATGTTTTAATTTTTATCCAAAATGTCTTAATTTTTATCCAAAAATGTCTTGCGGCACAAAATGAAAAAGAAGAGTAGCCTTGAAAACGGTGTACTGAGGAGCTTTTCCATCAACATGAAAAAGCACTTGCACACATGAACAAGTATGCAACCGCTTTCTCACAAAAACATCTGGACCACTGGAAAAAGCCGGAAAAGTACTTTTCCAGCTACTATATGACCAGCACTTTCTCTGGAGGCAAACATAGAAGATAATCATCCAACATAGAATTCTTTCCCGTGAAACAAACGTGCCCATTGATAGGAGAGGGTGGTAGACACATAATAGGCAAACTTTTGTTATATATTTTTTCCATTTTTTGGCAAATTTGTCACTGATTATGTACCGAATGTAAGAAATTCATAAAGTAATGGGATTTCAGGGATGAGAGATAAGATAAAGAAAAAGAAAGGGACGGAAACAAATGTAGGTCAGAAGGAAAGAAGAGTAGTCAGACATATAATTGGCACCCTCTTACTTGTTCTCTTTTCTATGTAGAGTTGTTAATAGTATGTCCGTGTTGGATTTTCCCTCGCTCCCTTAACAACTTAATAATAAAATAAAGAGTGATTTATGTATGGATCTTAAATTTTTTTCAAAAATACGAAATGTTCTATTTATAGGTATAAATTACAAAGAAAGTAGGCCAACTCACTTTTTTTAATTTTATCACAAATTACCTCTTGGTTTGAGAATATCCTCGGTCCAAATTTTATTTTATTTTTTTAGTTTTTTCGTTAGTAGGATATTATCCTAAATATTGGGGCATTGCCCTACTAACGAAAAAAAAAAAAAAAATTAAAAATCAGATCGAGGATTTTATCTTTTGATAGAATATCAATTTTGAAAAAAAAAAACGGATTATCGACCTTCTTTATAATTTTTGCCTATAAATGGAGGATTTTGTATTTTTCTTTTTTTAGGATCCATATGTAAATCACTCTAAAATGAACTTCAATTATTAGTACAAGGAAATACCAATAAAAGGTCACATGAATAAAAGGGCAAAGGATTGTAAGGTAATGGACTGTACAATCATTCATTTATCATTAGAAAAAGGATTCTACAAGCACTCCTGAGAAGCACTGGTCTTTTAACCTTACTCAAAAAGCATAGAAAATCAGTCTCTCTCCCTTGGGTGTTAGAACGAGTGAGTCCATTCGGCTGCATTTCAGTTAATCCTCTCTATATCCTTAACGTGAAGTAAAAAATCGCGGTCGATATTGGCCAGGCAACATGTGTAGTTACCGATGTATATTTGCCAGTTCTTTGAAACTGTGCATTTCTGTAATTGTTGTGTTATTGAATGAAAATTGTTACTCTTTCTCAAAATACAGATTGCCCAGGCAGCTGAATGCCCAATTCCGATTTGTGCTTGCCCGGAGATCCTGATGGTGTGGGCAGAGCCAAACCTCCTGGCCTCTCCAGCTCTCTCGTACTTGCTTGCTCCTCATATTCATAATTCTCTGCAAAAGAGATACCCTGAATTGATCTAGTTTGGGCTTCATAATTCTTTGCAAAAGAGATACCTGGAACTGATCTACTTTGTGCAGTCTTGAAAACAACGGTTGAAGACAGGAAGAGAACGACGAGAAAGAGAGAGAAGTGCTTCATTTTGGAGAGGAAACCTGCTTAAATCCCAAAACAAAGCTTCTCCTTAGCACAAGATGGAAGAAATGAATAACTAATACTCTTATTTTTCATTCTTTATACTACTGATCAATGATTTCATGTAACCGTTGTATAGTAATATGATTCAACAACTTTAAAAAACCATCTTATGGCCATTTGTTTGATCCAAATTTTGAAATATACACTCTTTTCATTCTAATGAACAATCACAAAAAAAGAAAAAATTGAAAACATAACCTAAAAAGTATTTTTTTAGCCCAATTAACATAGGCCATTCGTTTTGGTGTGATGCTTAGATCTAGGCCTTAGAAAGATTTTTTTATTTCCATTTTTTTTGGATGGCTTTATTATCATTAGATGAACAATGTTAAAATGAAAAAAATGATTTTGAATTTATAAAGGCTAAGACTTTGAAATTCACAAAATGAATGGATTAGATTCATTTTTTGAGGACTCATTTTGACCATATCTAAGGTTTAAATTGGATTTTTTTTTTAGGGTAAGGGATTGATTATTGAGATAAAGAGAGTGTATGTGTAAAATTTGGAGTCATACAAATACCAAAAACATAGTTTTCTAAAAGTATCGGTGCATTATATTATAATACAACTGTTGCATTAAACTATGATTCAACCGTTGCTTTGGACCATTGCTCTATACTACCTGCGCATGTACTATATGACGAGTGTTCAATGGTCACGAGTCGAAGCGAAGAGGGTTGTTGGGGACTCCCGAGAGTGAAAAGGTGGGTTATTGGGTATTATAAAAAAGACCGATGACCTCGTCTTTTGGAGAGAGAGTCAAAGGAATTAAGGGATTCTCCAATCCCGACATCAAAACTTTTTGTATATTAGTATTTAATGTAATTAATGTTAGCAAACGTTTGGTTAAATGGGATATGGACCAATAGAGTAGTGGTTTTAAAAATACTTGACCAATTATGCATATGCTACACATGGTTTGAAGCACAATGAGCTAACCATTGATCATTGATTCATGACTCGGCAACAGTAGATAAGGTCCAATTCAGCATGGTGATGTTGGATTTGGTGCTATCCAAAATCACCGACAAAATTCTCTAGGATTGGTTGAGATATTCTCCTATTATGTGAGATTGAGATATTCTCATATCTTGTGGGAGTGAGATTTATATTGATAAGTTTACTAAAGGAAATAGAAATAAAAAAAACATTATGACTTTTGGATTTATTTCAAGGTTCTAAGATATATATATAGCATCAATACGAAATTTCTTATTTATTATGGACTTCTAATCGTATATATATGGGTGGACTCCTAATCTTATATATATGGGATGAAAGTGCAAATAATTAGTGTGTCTTTGTTTATTGTAGAGAAGCGGTTCCCATAGAGATTTTGGGTTGTTTATCTTTTTAGTTAGAGAGAAAGTCAGTTTTTCGTTGCTCTCGCCTCTCCTATCTCTATTTGGTGTTGTCGGTAATAGTTACCAGAAGTAAAGATAATGAAAGGAGAGTAATTTAAAAGGGTTTGCTTGACTTGGATTTTTGTCGATGTTTATTCCAAAATCTTTTATGTAACTTTCACTGGTATAGTAGATTTCCATTTGCAATGGCCGTTGATGCAGCCCTCATGGGGTGAACTACATAACCTTCACGTTCTTATGGTGTGCTTTTCATGTTTTATTTTTCATACTTTATTTGTCAAAAAATCAACTCATTGGGTTTAGTGCTTCCGCACACGACAGGTGGGTCGTACTTTTCTCAAAATATTGGCTATTTCAAAATGTTGGCTACCATTTACTGCGGAAGAAATATACAGTCAAGAGACCAGCAATTTGGATGTTACTTTATGAGATTGTCTAGAAAGAGATCATTTATTTTTTTTATATGGAGGTCACAATCATTCTCACTCATTAGATGTCAAATTGGATGGCTTGGGTGAGTTACGAAGTTCAAAAAATATATATATTTTTTAAACTTTGTGTTTGTTCAATGACATTTTTACAATTACCCAAATTAAAATTTAAGAGACAAAAATAATTGTACCTTCCATGTACAAAAGATAAACGGTCTCTTTATAGACAATCCGGTTGTTTTGAAGCGTAAGATTTGTGCAAGTTGTGCACCCTGTACCGTACACGGAAGTTGCGCTATTAAACTTTGGAAGAATATGTAGATTTGAGGGCCCTTGATTTGATGTAGAAAACCTTACTATTTCTCAAAATTTCATGTTTAGCCATAGTTATATGCAAATTAAGTAGATTTAAAGCGTAAGATTTGTGCAAGTTGTGCACCTTGTACCGTACAAGGAAGGTGCACCTTTAAACTTTGGAAGAATATGTAGATTTGAGGGCCCTTGATTTGATGTAGAAAACCTTACTATGACTCAAAATTTCATGTTTAGCCATGGTTATATGCAAATTAAGTAGATCTAAAAACATGTCAAAAACTTGATACAACTCCTCAAAATTATGCCTAAGGGAATTCTTAGAAATTCCGATTTTGAATCCTAAGGACCACACAAATCCTAATAAATTATAGTAAACTTAGACCAAATTCAACTGTATAAAAAAAATTCGAAACTCATCCCAAGATGTAGTAAACCTCAGGAGCTTTCCAGCAATCCAAGAATCACTCAATCGGACTTTCTATTTGAAAGATATGGCCTTGAGGGGTTATTGACCAAAATAACCACAATACCCCTAGGCATGACTCATCATGTGTGGCACATGGGCTACACATCACATGGCTATTCGGGCCACACGACACACCTAGATTAGTCAATTTTCCGTCCAAGTCCCAATTCAATTAGGATTTTGAGGTGGTAATTAACTGGAATATTCCTAGCTAATGCGTGTGTATGCACCATTTGGCGCTAGTATGTCTCGCTAAAAAAGCCTCGGCTTTTTCTAATACCACCATTTGGTGCACTAGACTGCCTAATTGTATTTCACTTATTTTACTCCATGATGTTTTGCAACTATACTATTGTAGGGTTGTAAATCTAGTAATTTTTTTTTTATTTAATGAAAAACGGTAGGGAGCCTTTTTCCTAGTGAGTTGCCTAAAAAACATATGGGAAAGTATAGAATGAGACTATTTACCTTTGATACAAGATAGTCACATTAATCTTGACCATTGGATATAAAATTCGGTGGCTGCAATTATTCCATTGACCAAGATCAAGTTTCAAATCAAAATTTCTCGAATCTTGTGACACATCCAAGCTATCAAATTCACATCAAGTGATTGTAAAGAATTGCGACCACCGTATATAAAAAGTAAATGGTCTCATTGTATACAATCCCAAAACATATATAGAGAGATAGCATTTTACCTAAAATGTTTGGGTCATTCTAATAAGGGTGCGGTTTGTATAAAGCCTAGGCTCTAAACAATCAAATTAGAGCCTACCTTCAAATAATGTCGAGAAAGGTGCTTTCAATACTGGAAATATTTCTGATAGCCTTAAAATATATTTTCATCTTTATTTATAAATTTTAAAGCTTCAAAATAGTGTAGATAGATAGATCTATGAAAACTTGAAAATTGACAGTCCAAAAATGCATTACAAATTCACTATATCCAAAACTTGACATCCATTTTTTTCTCATGTCCATGCATCTTGATGTCGAGAGGATTAATTTGAGAATATTTGAGCATCAAAACAACCTCTTCTAGTGAAATTTTTGAGATAGGTTCTAATTTGATTGTTTAGAGCCTCGGCTCTAAGTAAACTCGTCCTCTCTAAGAATAGAGAGGAGGCAAGAGAGAGAATGTTTGCATTTTGAGAAACCTGACTGAATGAGTTTTGAGCAAGTTGAGTATGTGGGGTTGGTGAGGGAGTGGAATGAGCAGTGCTTTCACATGTGGTCAATGTCCAAGCTTAGTCTATCCACTCTCAATTCGTCCATGCAAAACATGCGACTCGTTTACATGAGACAAGGCATTATTAATTGCATTCAATTAAGAAGCTGTCCAAGCCCATAATTTATAACGCGCGCTCGACTTCATTGCGCCCCTTGGTTCGTAAATACGGAGGAGTTTAACCCCCGTTGCCTCGCCATTTGCGTGATTGTGTCTACGTTTTCTTGATTTCGATCCATTAGTTGGCAACAGTGTTAAGTCGGCCAGATTACAACTGGGGCCAATCCGGTTATGGTTGGTTTTGGTGATCCGGTCGAGTATTTTAGAAAAATAAAAAATTATATAAAATTATTAGAAATAAGCGATTTGTTTGTAACGTGTTTTTGAATGTTTTTTATTATTTTAACAAAAATTCGAAAGTGTTTTGGCAATGAATAATTATTTGTATACTTTTTTCTTCTTTTTTAATTATTTAAAAAATCCTCTGCGTACGATTTGATTTTTTAAAATCGATTTGTTTCAATAGAAATTTTTTTGGGCTCTGGGGCCGGAATTTTGTTTTGGTTGTAAGACCGGGAATTTTGTTTTGCTTATGGGGCCGGAATTTTGTTTTGGCTCTGGGACCGGAATTTTGTTTTGGCTTTGGAGCCAGGAATTTTGTTTCTGGGGCGTGAATTTTGTTTTTGGTTATGGGGTCATGAATTTTGTTTTGGCTCTAAGTTCTACTAGTGAGTGCCTTGGTAGGCGTTTGATCCCATTCTAGTTGTTGGGGAAGGATTGGTCCGAGTATCTTCATGTTTTCTTCTTGTAGATGACTTACGTCGTCTTTGGTTAAGAAGACACATCAACCTGTTTATTAGTCCAGGTGCTCTTTTTGGGTTTTCACCTGAACTGGATAGGAGTGGTGCCATAAGGGTAGTTTTCGCCGACTCCTTTCATTGAGGGACTTTTACTCGTGACTTCGAGGTCACGTCCACCTTTTGATTTCCATTTTTACTCATGACGCCCTTGCGGGTTTTTGCCATGCCCGATTTTCTTGTTCTCAGGACGCTTTTTACTCATGGCTTCATGGTTATGCCCGTCTGTCATTTTTACTTATGGTGCCTTTGCGGGTTTTCACCATGCCCAGTTTTT